ATACAAACTCAAGTTTGTTACCCTGGTGATTACAGAAGCATATCAAGATTCAAGTTCCATTAATGTCAGAAAGAAAAAGAAAAAAAAAATAGATCGCATCGTTCAGATGGAAGAACAGCAAGTGTAGCACCGTGAAGCAGGAGAAGCGCCTGAAAGCAGAAGCATTCTGCAGCAGGGCCTGGTGCTAAAGGTGCCAGAGCGCCTGTTCATTAGCAGGGCTGATGGAAGACCAGCCAGCTCCTGCTGGCCTTCACCCACCCTGCCACAATATTTATAGAGCAGCCAAGAGATACTCTTAATGACACAGGGAGAGGGACAGTGGGAAAGGGGGAGGGGGTGCAAAAGTCAGAAGTGGAACACTGTTTACTTTCTTAGGCTTGTTGAGAAGTTGGTGTGATGTGGACTGTAATTATGTCACCCTCACACTTCCTTTGAGAACACACTTTGTGATTCCAGGTGTGTAATTCTTGTTACTGTCTAGCATTATCCAATACAGTTGATGAAGTGCTTCAATTATGGGAGCACAGGGGAGCTTCATTTGTGCTTAACTTCTGACTACGGGATAATTTTGTATTCTTTTTATTATGGAGAAAAAAATGTGTCAAGTCTGCATTGCGCAATCCTTGGAAACATTTCCGTCAGTCAGCTGGTGTTTGAACAGGACTTTTTGTCCACACTTGAAAAGCAAACAGTGTCAAAGAAAAGCCATACTTATCTCTTGAACCAATGTTAAAGAAAGCCAATTTTACTTTCAAAACTGGCCAGATAAAAGTGAAATGCTTTGGAAATAAGTCTAAAAAAAAAAGGACCCCAAACTGATCAGTTGAAGACAAGCAAACGTGTCCTTTTTTGCCAAGAATATAATACTTTCTGAGATATTTTAGACAATCATAGTTTTATAATCCTGTTTTCACTGCCTAATTTTAGGGAGCAAGTCAATTCTGAGTTGGGATGATTGGAAGAAGAGGTCATGTGTACGTTCCCAATGTGAAGAAATTCTTACCGATGGAATTGTCAGCTATAGTTGTTCTGCAAGACAAAGAGGCGAGGAGTTTTAAGTGTAGTGTTTGCAGTGGGGGTAGGAGGTGGAAGGGGAGGTTTTGGATCAGGTCGGCAGCCCCAGTGCTGTTGGGGCCAGTGGAACCCCCAAGCGGTTCTGGCTTTGGAGTAAATATGGGCCCAGCGGACCCTTTCCTGCCCCAGGGCACACAAACCCCAGGCCTTCCCACATTCTACTTTTATTTTCCTGGTTGCAAAATGCCTCTGGCTATCAGAGCAGGTGGGGTGTTTTTTTCTTTAATATTTACTCATAAAATGTGCATTAGTAGAACTGAAGAAGCCATGATGGGCCCTCTGGTTTTGCTAACTTTCTCTCAGGTTTGACCAGTATTACTCTCGCTACTTCTAGAGTGTCAATGTATCATTCAGCTGAGTTGGCACTTAATTTCATTTTAGTCCAGAGGGACTTTCATTACCAGGGTCTCTGGTAAATTAAGCTTCTCCGCTCCCTAATTTGAGTAAATTACTGTCCTTCGCTTAACAAACTCTGTGTTTGTATAAGCACTTGTTTGCATCGTCTCTTGAACTTGCAAGTAAGGACAAAAACTGTTGGCAATATCCGCAACAGATCAAGACAATATGCTCAGCACTTGTTTTTAAAGGGATAAAATTGTAGTCAAACTGGAGGGACTAATCTTTTAAGCTCTGTGCAGTTTACTTTCAGAGCTTTGAATAGGCTCCTCTTACTAGCCTTGATCATTTCAGACTTAAATAAAGCTCTTTATAGTAGCGCTCTGATTGGTATAATCTGCAAGCTGTCAATCCCATCTCTGAGCGCTCTCCCAGAGGAGGTGCTGGGCCTGTCGACCGGAGGATGTTCAAATGTGGGTGAGCCTTGTTGCTCAGGTGTGAACGAGTGGGTAAGCACGTTAAGTATGTCAGGAGCGGGTCACTGTAAATGTACATTTTGTTAGCTGTATGCAAACGCCTTTAACGCCTGGGTAGAGCTGTGTGATGTCTGCAAAATGAGGCTGCCACAGATGGGTCAAAAGTCTGCTGGACTCTCTAGAGCAACACCCAACATCCATATGCTGACTCTAAACCCAAGCTGCTGCGTGTCTCTCTTTCTGTGGCCCTCGCTTCTTTCTCACATCGCCCACATGGCTGGAATGCTCGATGGAGCCCCAGTGCTCCTCATCATCTGCCCATTGGACCAGTGTTTGGGAGCTGCAGTGTTTGGCACATAAGCAGCCCCGTTTGTTTGATTGGTCCGAAGCCCTCTGCTCTTAATCCAAAACAAAACGAACAAGCCGTGCGGCGGCTGCTGTTCCAGTCGCCGGGCCGCGTGTGATAAACACATCAGATGGGGGCTTGATGGAAAAAAAAAAAAAAAGCTGGTTTGTTGACCAGAAACAAGCAGAAGAATCCTGCACTTTCCGTGTCGGTCATACACACTAAAACATTTATGAGTAAGACTTCTCTCCCCCCCCCCCTGTTCTTTGTCAATAGCAAGTATTGACTTTTGTTTAATGTTTGATAGGATGTGGAAAAAGATGGTTTATTTTTGGGAGGGTCAGAGTTAAGCTCTGGTACCAGGAAGGAGTGTTTTAAGCCAAATTGCCTCACTGCCAGCTTGTTGAATTAGTAAAAACATTGGTGGAAGCCGGGCTGTAGACGTGAGGATAATGTGTTAGGGACTCAGGATGACCCCCGTTTTGCTTCTAGTCTACTTCCCCTCTGCCATGAGCTGTGACACCAGGACCAGGGCCCCAGCTTGTTTTGTTTTTTTCTGCGGTGACAAGCAGCGCAGATCTAGGTTAACATTCATGTAGTTCATAACATGCCAAACCTTTGTGTAGAAGCATTCACTCTCAAAGGTGTGATTGGTCCAGCATGCAAGTGGAATGAGCTCACTTGAACATACAGCAGTACATGTAAGAGACACACTGGTGAAACAGGGAGCAGATTATTCATCCACAGATAATTAGACAGTTGTCGCGCAGCCAACGTGCTTCGATACTGCGTCTTTTATACACAAGTGGAACACTTAAATATTTGATCACACAAGAAATCATTTGGGGTTTGGGAAACTTATGCCACACCTGTTCAATAGTCAATTCAAAATCAAAACCTGTTACAGTTGTTATGATACCGATGCCAGCATCTGTGTCAACCAATACTGTCTTGAATGCTGCGTGAGGTATCAATGAGTAATCTATCAACGTGATGATGACATACTGAGATTAGTTTGTCCCCTTCAGATGAGGTTTTATGTACATCCCTTTACCATTAAAAACAAAAAGTACATGGGACTGCTGAGGTGTTACATGTTTGTTAAAGATAGCAAAATGACAGCAATCACTTTAGTACACTATATATAACAAGGCTATCCAAGAGTTACTCAGTGTTGCTTATCAATTGTAGTTATTGGAATTGGTTTCAGGAGAGAAAATACTTGAATCAGGAGGACATGTCTTAAAAGGATAAATGATGTTTGCAATAATTATAGTTAAATATATAGTTTTCATAGCCCTTACAAATGACCCCCCAGTCCTGGACCATCAACCCCTCTTCTTGACTTTGGGAAAGCAGCAGCGGACGGGTAAAAATCGGGACAGTGGGAGTGAGTTCATCTCTCTGTAAGGATTTAGAGGACTCCCTTGTCGTTCACTTCATCAGAGACAATTGAGTCATTCAGCGCCCATTGTGGGCTGGCTGGGCGAGGAGGGGTGCAGCGTAGGGGGGTGGGGGGGGGGGGGGGGGGAGGAGGGAACTGAGAGGGGGAATAGTGGGGTGAAAGAGAGAGGAGAGAAGGAAAAGCCGTCTGCTGCACAACCCGTAGCTGAGGCACAACCACTGAGTGGCTCTTAGAGGGTTTGGGTCTCTTGCAGGGGTAGGAGGGGGGGGTGCTTAGTGTTTGTGTGTATGTATGTGTGTGTGTGTGTGTGTGTGTGTGTGTGTGTGTGTGTGTGTGTGTGTGTGTGTGTTGTGTATAGGAGGAGGGCAGGAAGAGGGACAGAGGAGAAGAGAGAGTTATCCTGGAACTCCGGAGCAATTTGTCACATCAGAATGGCTCTTGAGTTACCCGGGGGGCCCCCTCATAGCAGGAGAGTTTTCAGGTCGCAGAGTGGGTAACAGGGAGGGGCTTGGAGCAGCCGAGAAGGGGTCAGAGGTCACGGCCTACTCGAGCCCAGGCGGTGCGTCCGTTAGCAGGGCAGGCTGGGTGGGTTGGAGCGAAAGAGGAAGGAGGCAAGGGGGGTTGGGTTGGGTTGGGTTGGGGGGGGGGGTCGGAAAGCACGACGCTTGCCAGGGCTCCGTTTTCCTTGGCATGCTTGTAAAACCTGCAGGAGAGATTAGTGTGTGAGAACATTTGCAATAGCGAGGCTGAAGTGGAGCCACTTGTCAGGGCATGCGCTGCGACGCCCTCCCTCTCCATGTCGTATTTCAGTGTCTCTCTCTCTCTCTCTCTCTCTACCCCACTGCCACACTAAGGGGGTGTCACCTTCACGCTCCTTACCCACTCACTCAGAATGTCCTCTTGTTCGACCCCTCGTCCGGCTGCAGCTGTGGTCGAATACTTGCATGTGAGCATGTGTGCATATGCGCAGGCTATACGGCAGAACTTTCCCATGACTGGATTCACAATTTGACCCCCTTTCTCTCCAGCGTCTTCTAGACTCTTGTGGGCACCCATGGATACTGTCTTGAATTACCTCATAGATGACAGCAACCCTGTCACTCTTTTCCTCCTCTTTTACAACACTCCCCCCTCCTCCCCCCCCCCCCCTTCATGGCAATTAATACCCAGTGTGGGGGGTCCATAAAAACGCACAAGACCTCTACTCTGGAGTTTTTACAACCTTTCCTTTTTCCACTCTCAGGACATACAAACAAGCATAAACAAACCCAGTTTTTTAAGTAGTTAAAGCTGTCTAGGGGTCATAAATGAGTAGTAGTTGTGGAGAAACACCAGGCAGCAAACGTTTTTTTTTCCCTTGCAGGGGCTGTAACCGAGGACATGGAGTCAATAACTCCCTCCAGCGTCTACCACTGGCAGGCACCCCACAGTGAACTCTTCGCTAATTACCACTGATTTAGACACAGTCTCAGGAAGGGTCGTGACACACTCACTCTCTGACCATCTCTGACACACATGTGGATCTAACACACACACACACACACACACAAGCCCTGAGACTTGCATACAAACTAGCGGCCACCCTTGCTGGATTGCAGGACAAAGAAATCTAATGTACCTGTATCTCCACACTACTGCTAGTAGAAAGCCAGCATTATTGTACAGAAGCACATGATCATTCATACATGAAATGTAGTTCAATGTGATTCAGATGCTATCCTAAAGTGAAGCAACAACCTAATGTTTGGGATTTGCACATTGGGATACCTCAAAAAGCCACTCAGAGGTTTATATTTCCTGCAATAATGGAATGTTTATGCCAAAATGAAGAAGGCTGTATTTGGGGGATATCTGGTTTCTACTTTGGCAGCCTCTGGAAGTGAAGAGCTCAGCCTGTCTTACTTTTAATGACTCGTCCTTTAGGTTGAAATATGTTTTCCACAAAGGTTTCTCAATGAGTCCTTTTTCCTCATTGGTATTATGAAGCCTTTAGTTCCTGTTTTTATATTTGTTTCTGTGTGACAAATCGGTTGTATTAGTTAACTTAAGATTTTCTAAAATTGAACTCATTTTCATTGCATTCAAATCTGCCAAAAAAACGATCCCCCAGGTGAATAGTTGACTTTATGATTGAAGCCAATGCTTGTTAGTTGCGTGTCCATTTGTCAGTAGTTGCCAGTTTTCATAAAGTCAAGGCCCTTCACCTCTGACTACACCACCCATTCCAAAGGCTTGAGCTAATATGCCCCCTTTTCCCAATGCAAGGTGGCTGTGACATTGATAACCACTCCCTGCACCAATGCCAAAGCCAAGCAAGTCAATAGCTACAGAGAACTGGACACATATTTTTATATTTATTTGAGTCTTTGCAAAGTATTCTTTTACAAAAGCAAACATCATTTTTTTTCATTGTGTGACTGAGTACATGAAGAAGAGAACAAGGAAGAGATGCAAGGTAAACCATTCCAGGTAGAACAGTAAACACAGCACTTGTCATCAAATGAAAAGGACTCCACCCAGTTTATATCTCACAGATGTTTCTCATGACTCCTTGTTTCTGCTTATCTTGTTTCCCTACTGTGTGTGTGTGTGTGTGTGTGTGTGTGTGTTTTGTGTGTGCGTGAGAGCAAGAGTGGGAGAAAGAGAGGGAGACTTCTGATAGAGGCCAAGTCAATCATTTATGAAAGCAGACAGGAGGTCTACCCTTCCAGAGGAGCGTGGTGAGACGCCACGCTTTAACCTCTTTATGGGTTCCAATAAAAGTTTGACAACAGTCACATTTATGACATTAGGTCATACTAAAGCCATGAGCCGTGTACAGTACTACCCTTAACCTCTGCCCTCCCCGAACTCAGAATAAGTGACATAATGGAATTCCAAGTAAGCGACTGAAAGGGAAAAAAAAACTAAAACTAAAAAATGATATATGGTACATGTTTTATTTCGAACACTATAAAAACTTGACAATAAAAAGGAAGAGTTATTGTGCTGTGTATTTGGCTTACACAACAATGTGCTCTCCTGCTGGACTCTCAGATGCATGCTCGAGGCCATCCTCACCTCATCCTCCATCTGCTTTTAGATCTTTGTTTGCTTCTCCATGTTTTTGATTTCCACACCCGTACACCCGTCAAGAAATGTTGTCTCCCCCCCTTTTTTTTTTCTTTTTGTCTTACTTTTAATTTGTTCCTTTTTTGGTTTTTGGTTTCTGCATTGTTAACATGTTTTGTTTTTCTTTCTTTCCATTCTGTTTCCTTTTCTGCCATTCAGTACCTACAGATGAAATGGCCCCTGCTAGATGTTCAACAAGGAGGTCTTCAAAGTAGACAAGCACTTAAAGATGCCAGGTCCCCATCACCGGCACACATCGTTGTAAGTAACAAACTCCGCTCGGTACTTTTCCTCTTTCTCCCAAGCTCTTCTTCTCCCTTTTCTTCATGACAGAAAGACAAATAAACCCCGCTTTTTCCTTCTTCCTTCCACCCTGAAAACATCCTCAGTGTTAAAGAACTCCCGTATTCCCCATGAATGGTTGTGTTGGCTGGAATAATGCATATTTGTTTGCATTTACCCTTAAACCATAGTCACAAACCATTCCAGACAGTGTTGCTCTTTTGTGCGTGCATATTAAACGTTTGGATGATTGCAAGATTTTTCTCTCTCAGTAAGTTGCATGGAGTTAATGGCCCGGGATTCAGGTGCAGCAGTTGTTCTTTGGACAGGCTTGCCACATGTTATCCTAGAGACAACGATAACCCTAATCCCAGTTTTACCAAGCTGGATGATAATGGAGCGCTCATCTCATGTTGACAACTTTTTCACAAGAATGAGATAATGCTTGGCTGCTAGCGTGCCGTCTCTGAGCGAGGTGTGGGCGTTCCTACAGCATTGATTACCCTATCCACTGAGTTGGAGGAGTCGTCAGGAGTTGGCTGGACGGCGATAGGGGCATGTGGAGAGAGAGAGTGCGTGCACATAACAAGAGCGTCCACCCCAGGCTTGTCGATATCTGAGAGGCTACAGCAGCTCCGGAGTGAGCGCTTGAACTTAGCAGTTCGACAAAGGCATCAACTTTTCAGGAGGTCAGCGAAAGGTTGAACATAGGGAGGTGTACTTGTGTGGTCACAGGGTTAGCGAGCCAGGAAAATCAATTAGAGTGGGGTTTGAGCAGAATTAGTGAGGTGATCATGAATGCCCATCGGCTAATATCGGCACATTTGTTACTTTGGAGTCTTCTACATATTGTTCTGGGAATTAAAATAAAAAAAAAGTACATGTTTCACACTGAGAAGCCTTCTGGTTTGTATGCTCATGAATACAATATCACCTAAAGCAACAGTTCAGTACACAAGCTAATAATACACGGCTTGACCCTTTTTGTTTATCTGCAACAACACTGTTAGTAGTCTCCATGGCTCTGCAGCTCACACGGGGAGGTGGCGATGATTTTTTATCACACAAATTACACTGTCAAGAGACACAGCGTCCCTCTGAGTCACATTTGACATTTGATCACTTCAGTTACTTTTATGGGCTGTAATAAATACCATCCCGAGCAGTTACTCAAAAATTGGCAAGCCTCGGCCTCCTTGGTATTCTGCCCGTTTAAGTTAAGCACGTCTTAAAATAGCAGGAGTCGACAAGGCTGTTTATTTGAAGCAGAAACCTTGTCAGAAGTTGTGTTTAAAGACAAAAAGATAGAGATGACAGTGTTATTTTGAAAAAACAAAACAAAACAAAACAAAAAAACATCAAGCCCAGCATAGGCTCTCCGTATCGTTCTCTGTAATGCTGCTGTTATTTTTATACCAAAGAGTTCAGGGGCCTCTTGGTACTCTGTTATTTTAGGAGATGCTGAGAAAAGCGTCCCAACTCCTATGAAGTCATTAAACTGGTTGTAGGCAGCAAAAAAAGCTGCAGGTAAATACTTGAGAGGTTTTATCCTTATATGAGTCATGTGGCTGTAAATACTTCCCACCTCACATCCACCTCAACTCCTGCTATATAATTCACTTTTAAAGGTTAGAGACAGTGCTGACGTGTAATTCTCCAACTTTTTAGAAAGCATAAGTGAAGTCATGGCACAGTTTATGTATGCGTTTGAATATTTTTCAAATAAAACTGCCCTATGACGGGTTGGGTGCTAAAATGATCTTTGATTATAACAAACAACACTTTTGTCCGTCCGTGTAGGTTTATGTTTGTAAAAAAAAAAAAAAGTGGAAAAAAAAGACATTCAAGCATCTTTTATTTCACAATATACTCAGTCAGAGCTTTGTAATACAAACAGTCAGACGTGCAACACTCACAGTCTTTGAACAAACACCAGCATCTCATCACAAAACCGAAACTGGCTGTGGGGCAAAAAACAAACTTGAAACAACAAAGATGGACAACCAGACAGATGGAAAAAATAAGCTTGCACATTGCTGAAGTGCAGACCTACTTTAAACAACACAATGGAGTGACTGAAGTGCAGAATAAAGAGCAACAATGTGTTTTGAACAACATGTGTTTTTTTTTTTTTTTTTCTTGTGATCAATTTTTTTTTATTAGTCTTTGCTCACATGTAGACACGTACCAACAAAAATACATATAACAAAATAAAACAAAACAAAACACCCTGTGGCACCTGCCTGTATACATATAGTACAATAATATGTGCAGGGTACTGTATCCACATATCTACATTTTAACACAAAATATGATGATTACAGCAATTCTTTAATGACATAGCAGTAACAGAAAAACAGAAAAAGGACCAAATCCTCTGTTACAATGGTTAGTTTAATAAATATAGTAAGCATATATCAATTCTTTGGTCACAATGCTATGCTGCTGCTCATTGGGTTTTAGTTACATTTTAGGCACAGCATGCCTTTGAACAAGCAACAGTGTAAAATAAAGTTGGGCAGATGACAATGTCTTTTATGTCACAAGAGCAGATTTAAAATACTATGTAAGGTGTCTTTGCAGGAGCCAGAAAACATCTGGATTTGACGATAAACACTGAGTATCTTACACTTTCTTTAGCTCTAAGAAGGCACGATTAAACAAATACTGTTGTTAGTGCAGACGTGGATCAATATCACAACATCTATTGTAATATGGCTGCTCGTGTTGCCCAGCCCTTTAGTGGGATCTGTTTGATGGAACACACTGGCTGGTGAGATCAGAGGCATTGCAGCACCGCTCCATAGCCACACAACTCCCTGTTAGCACCGGTTGATAAAATTGAATGTGAAATGCAGCTTGTATTGTTGCTTGCTACCCTCCTGCTCCAGCATCCACCTCTGACTGTGAGGGGACGTGTGATTGAATGTTTCCCTGGTTTGCATCATAGTTGCTGTTGTACATACAGAGAAGACGGATAACTTTGGACAGCAATCCTGAATGTCGATGATAACCCTACGCTGTCTCCTGCTAATGTCACTCAATCAGTCAAGCTTCCCTTTTCTCGTCTTTTTTTTTTTTTTTTTTTTACTCCATGATGTCGGCCTGCATGTTCCTGGACATGGTCCCCTTATCAATGCATTGGGCTGTAAACAGTAGTTTCTTTTTGTTTGCAAATGCAGAGAGACACCTTGACCTCTTCCTGCCTGGAGTGCTCGCAGGCTACATTTTCAGTGATAAGAAGCCACCGATTGGCCTGCTAGATAGCAGTGATCTGAAGCCTGAGTGAACCTGGGACAGTAAAAAAAACAAAAAACTAAAGAAGACAGTGATAGATTATAGGAAAGATAAAGACGTCTGTTGATAATGCTTAGTAGAAAGTTATGGCTGAGTAGACAGATGGAGGGAGGAGGAGGAGAGATGGACAGGGACGGAGATGCAGGCAGCAAGGTCTCATGCGATGTGGCGAGGTTGAAGAGTGGGCAAGAGAAGAGGAAGTGACCTCACGCAGGCCGGTCTGTCTGGGGGCACGCTGTATGCCCCTGTTTACCATGCCCCTCAAAGGGGGCCACGCAGGACCCTTTTGAAGTGCCTGACCGCGCCGCAGGCAGCCACAAAACCTGCCGCCGCTGAACTTTTAAGCCATTGGCTGAAAGTTATTCAATATTTATCCCCCCCCGATTGAAGTGTATTTTTTTTTTTGAGGGATAGACCCGAAGAAATATATATTTTTCGTGCCTCACACAGCCCTCGAGGGAAAGATTATAAACAGTATCTGCCTTGTCAGCTTTGCTATTATGGTGATGTGTTTGACATTGTGGACTCGGGAGAGTTTTTGAGAATAGTTTGGAACAGGGAAGTGGCTTCAAGATGGTGGACAAATGGAGTTAGCGGTTTGTGGGTTTCCTTTTTGGTGTTTTGCCACGAGCTCATTTCTGTTATGAAGAAAGTGATTCGTGAATTCACCTAGAAACACAAATAACACAATTCATTATGACACGTGTGTATGGTTAGCATCAACTACAGTGCAATCACGGCTTATGTCGCTAATTTTATGACAGAATTTGATCGAAAGGTAGTGAATCATCCTTTTTACAGTTATGTGATTAAAAATAATGTTCACTATCAGGCAAACTTGTCCATCTCAAGTTAACAATCAAACCTCTAAACTTAAGTTTATAAGTATTTTTTACTCATTTACTTATTTTTCTTCATTTGCCATTCGAGGAATTGGGGCAGAAACATGCAAATGTTAAGAGCATATACACAAAAACTACTTTCTTGACATTCACGTGCACATACACATACAAAAACACACACACACACACACACACACACACACACACACACACACACACACACACACGCATACAGCCTTAGAGTCTAGAGCCTAGCCCCGCTCGAACAATGTCTCCATTGTTTTGTGGGCTTTCACTGGCAGCAGGGGACGGCTGGAGTGTTAACTATTTCCCAACTGCCCCTCACGGTGTGCTTGTGTGTGTGTGTCAGAGGTAGTGAAGCATGGGCTCAGGGAAGAAGAGAGGGAGGGCACTTGCTCCAAGTGTATGGTAATTAGTGTGGAGGAAGTGATGGAATCTGGCCATTTTTATTGCCTGTAAGACCTCCCACCTGAGCCTTTTTACAACTCCTGAACATGCGTATTTCATACCATTCAGGCTCCCTTGTTTCTCTGAAGAGTGTGTGCTGGAAAGAGGTTGTGTGAAAGGAGCTGACGTGTTTTTTTGATATTGTTAAAAAACAAAACCAAAAAAACTCCATTAGAAGTGAAAACACATGCCACAATGACTCTGTGGATCCCAACAATTCTGCACCTCTCAGTTTGTGTTAGAAAAGACAGGCGCGATCACATTCACCCTCCTTGACCGCTTCTCTGTTCGGTTTGTAGGAATGGGGATAAAGGGGGCTTCCTGTGGTCTGAATAGGCCATGCACCTGGGTTAGCCAGACAATTGCCCAGAACTCTGGGATGCCTGGCCTCCTCAGCTGTTAATGAGCGACCCCATGGTCAGCGAGCACCACCCACACACACTGTCCACACGTTTTACCTCGGAGGCTTTTTCTGCCTTATGTCAACCTTCAACAGCTCTTGCTGTCTTCTTTTTATACCCTTTTCTCCATAACCTCCGACCCCCTATTTTGTCTTCTTTCTGAGCATGTTGCCTCCAAAACCACCTTTAACATTTTCAGCAAGAGAGAGCTCATATCTCAGTGTTCAGTAATGTTTTGGTCACTATTTCCTGAGATATTTTCGGATAGTTTTCTGATACTGATTTGGTGCATTGAGGGGCATACTTGCCAATATGGATACCACATATGAGCCAATACCAGAGGCAGAGTAGGATTATATAGTCCAGGATTGGGCGATTTTTGACTTCTGACTATTATGTTTAAGGGATTTCTTGATTAAATTCCTCCTAAAAAACATATACATCTCAATTTACTTTTGCTTATCATCCATGCCCATATGTAATCCAGACCTCAGATAGAGACCCTTGTGTCATGTCTGAAGACAGACTGTCACTCTCTGTCTTCAAGACAAGACTTTTCTTCAAGGGGTCACGCTTGCATCATCAGATCGGGGCCAAAATCCAAGGCCCAGTCGAGACGTGGCGTCAGTCCCGGGAACTGTGACAATGAAAATGAGAGTACCTCAGTCTTTGTCCGGCAGTCTGGCCTGCCGCTTGTTCCCTCAGACAATCCGCTCAGTGTTGGCTGCTTAGTCAGCAACAATACCACAACAGCGACTGAAGAGTCTTATTGCTTCTTTACTGACTTAACAGAAAACCTGAGCCTTTCAAAGTAAAGGTAGATTTAAAATGCCAGGAAGGGCCGTTTGGCCAGGAATCAAAATGCCGCATTTTGCACATGCTTGGTCATATTTGTAGACTTAATATGCAGAAAACGCAGTTATGGAACCTCTCCACAGCATGTGATTGTAGGCAAAGTGAATAGCAGTTTGTTGTATTGTGTCTGTGTGTGTGTCTTTGTTAGTAGCTCCAGGGAAATAGTCGTATATTTTCCTTGCTGTGGTATTTGACCGTTGTATAACCCGGCTGAACTTAAGATACCCCAGGGAACATGTGACTCTATGTTGAACATGCACATTTAAAAGGATAATACATATGTGTATTTGTTAGTGTGTGTATGTGTGTGTGTTTCGCCAATAACCACAGTGTTCACTGTTGGAGAAGTTATCTGGCTGGCCTCGGGGTCAAGCACAAGTACAAATAGAACCCAGCGATCTCTGTGCAGAGAAAGCGACCGGCACAGTAGCTTTTGGAGCCCTTTTGTAAACCACAGGCCCTGTTGCCTTTCTGTGCATGTTCTGAGACTTTCTACTAGCATGTCCTTTCTTCTTTAGGAAATCAATAACTCCCTTTCCCTATTTTTTCCTCTTTTTTCCTTTCCTGTCCTCTATCATCTCCTGAAATCTTTCAGGGAGATGTGAGATCTGAGTTTTTGCTCTTAGGGGCAGTAGATACAAATGTGCCAAGTTAACCTCTGAATGCCTTATCCTCTGAAGAATCTTGTATTTGAACAGCTAGTAAGACTTGGCAGGTCACAATTTCAATTTTAGAACACAGTGAAGTGAGAAAAATATAAAAGAATCACTGCACTGGGGACCTGTAGTCAGCTCTAGAGTTGTTCTGATACCAATGTCTGAAATACCTCGGATGCAGTATTAAAAGCAGATACAAGGTATCATCCGGTTCCCCGTCTATTCCCAAAATTCAAACCATAATAAAGTGTCCTGCCAAAAAAAAAAAAAAAAAGACTTATTTCTTCTTCAACAAAATCAAAAGCTACACAAATAATATTTATCATGGCTGACACAAGAGTGGCAAATAACAAGCTTCAGGTCGACTATCATGCAACATTAGCAAACAACAACAGTGTGGCTCTGTACAAGAGTGTAGTCAAAGCTAGCAAAATGTGAGCAAAAAAGTGTGAAACCATTTAAGTGCTGTGCTTGTTTTTATTTTAAGATAAGATAATTTAAACTAAAGCAGTTACATTTTAGCTTTCCATCTTTCTACTAGATAGCTAGCCTGTCGCTAATGTTAGCTAACTTGTCAGTAGCAGATTAGCTTCTTTTTAAGGCAGGGTTCCTTGAGTGTATTGAGAGAGGCCATACAACAATGGTTGCTATCATATTACATCCATACTAGGTAATTGTATACAGTTGTTAAAATAATATAGCGAATAGAAGTTGCTTCTCTTTTTTTTTTTGCTGCACCGGCATAGGAGGGGTATTCAGTAGGTACCTGTAACAAGGTACTGTATCAGGAATATGTATCAGGAAAGGAAGATTTGTATCAAAAATTCTCTAGCCAGCATAGGAAATTGTGTAAAAAAAAAATAAAAAAATCAACATATTACTTTCTAATTTCAGTTAAAGAAAATAAGTCTTCTTCGCTTGGCCATGCTACCTTTGCAGTTACAGATATTGAGCTCAGTAGTGATGACCCTGGCTCCCTAGACCAGCTGAATATCTGTGAAGGTGTAAATGCTTAGGAGCTTAAATGTTCTTCCAAAATGAAACATTGTTTTAACAACCAGCCAGCCAGTACCAACAGTCATGTAACCAGAGCAGAGCCTGTTCTCTCTGTGTAAAATTAGCAATAATGGGGCCGAACACGCACCCGGGAGAGAGCTGAGCCAGCAGAGGAGGTAGTAGTTTAAATAACTAAAAAGCCAAGGGATGCATTATTTCCAGGGAGAACATGTTTCCTTTGCATAAATCCTGACCGGCTGGGATTGTGTGCAGATGTGTGTGTGTATGTGTGATAAGAAGTGAAGTAGAGCTGATATAATTGTGTGACTTGGGAACATCCATCTTTGCCTTTCAGGGGTCCTTCTGCTGGGAATTCCCCGGACAGTCAGATCTGAGCCTTCACCAATTTCATTTGGTGAGAGACCTTTGAATTCCAAAAATATCTTGTTAGATTTTTTGGTTGATTCTACACGCAAATTAACACCTGACAATTGATGATTGAAAAGCAAGAAATAATGAATGAAAAAAAAAAAAAAAAAAAAAAACTAAATCCTGGTGATGATGCTGATAATCCTGCTTTGTTGTCTGTGCTTTGTGCTTTTAATTCAGAGCTGCTGCTTTGTGTGCTTTCTTACAATGTCTAAATGCCAATCCAGATGATGGGCTGTATATGTAGAGGGAGAGATTTTTGACATACTTTTGATGTGCGTGCTCCCAAACAGAGATCGTCCAGCTTCGTGATGGTGTTTTTCTTGTTCAGCTTTGTTCGACTTCTTGAAGCTTCATTTTGTGTGTGATGCATTCTGTTTGTTTTTATTTATCCCGTGCCTAACTGGTCTCTGTTTCTGGTTTAGCTCTGGGAGAGTCATTGCGGTTTTATTTGGTTTGCATTAGCCCGCAATCCAACAGCAAGAGACGAGACTGTTTTGAAGAGAGTTCTCTTCTATATTGGCAGCATCTGGTTCTGAACCCATAACATAGAGATAGATGGAGTAAGATACCCTGTTTGTGTCAGCTGGTTTAAGATTTAGATTCAATCAGACTCAACCTGAAAGTGAAATAAAACTGCACTTCTTTCTCTCATTCAAAGTAGACCGCTTTTCCTCCTGTCTTTGTCCTAAAGCTCTCCCTTGCATAACTTTGAGAAAGTGGAACCTAAATGCAAAGTAAGTGTTGATTTTACCCGAAGAGCCTACGTGCTGAGGACATCAGTAAGTCTTGTTTTTTTGGTTTGCCAGGCAGGCGGGAAGACGCATTACGAAGCTCAGAGGATGACTTATTAATCTCCTCGGAGGGGACCACGGCTCTGTGGATTGCCTACTTGAAATGTTTGACTAATCAATTGCTTGTTGATTTTGCACACTCTGCAGGGCCTTTGTTGCCAGCAAATAATAAAAGTCCTTGAAAGGAAGAGAAAAAAAAGGAAGTAAGAAAGGAAGAAGGGAAGAAGGTAAATCATTCTTGATTGTGCAAACAGCTATTAATACGATGGTGTAGTCTATTAGGAAGAATAAGGAGCATAAAAACAACAACATTCCTCTCCCCATGTCAACTCGCTGCCTGCCCCCCCCCCCCCCTCTCTCTCTCTCTTATACAAGTGCCTTTGCTAGAACTTGTTTGACAAGGTCTGGCAGGATTGCTGTAGGGTGTGTCTGTCTTCCTGCATGTGTGTCTTACAAACACACCTTTGTCTACACCAGCGTGTCTGTAGTATGCTTGCGTCTATGGGTGCGACTTCAGTTTTGGATGACAGGCAGTCAGAGCTAGGTCAGGCCGGGTTAGAAGTTTCATATGTTTACATACAACGGCATGAACTCATTTAACCTGGAAATTCGACTTGCAGGCCGGTGAGGAGTGGCCGGGGAGCTTTAGGAAAAACATGTGTGGTGATCTTTGGTCAAGGCTCAGAGGTGATATTGATAAATAATCTTATTTGTGATGAGTCTCCCGAGATAACAGAATTACTGGCTCCGTTCTGCAGCCGGCCTCGTGAGCGACAACACACTCAGCAGCTTCCTACGCTACTGTATTAACACTGGAGGCCGTTTCACAGGGAAACTTGTTTTGACAGAACTCCAGGTGTCTTATTGTTACGGCTGGCATGGTTCAACAGATTTACCAATTAGCACTGGGCTGAGGGCACAGGAAGGGTGGGAGCGAGGGAGAAGAGGGGAGGGAAGAAACATAAATGGGGGAGGAGGGAGGATGGGATGAGAAGGGGGATTTGGCCGCAGTGATGGAATGAGATTTGGAGTGAGAGATGCTGGTAAGGGAAGGTGTGTATTGGAAGAGGAGGGGTTTGAGGGGTTTCACCATACGTAGGCGGGCTGGAGTAAGGCGATACATGACCTTGATTTTTCTTCTTCTCCAGAAGTAGTATGGAAGGGTCTGAGGTTTGAGCCCAAAGAGGAGGGGGAAGTACCGAGAAAAAGGAGAAGGGTGAAAGAGGGTAGCAGAGGAAAGACAGAGTGAAAACATGACAACTTAACTAAACTTTTTGTTTAACCTTTTGTACCTTGTAAATTAAAGATGCTATAGTTTATTTTTTTAAACTCCTTTTTGTTTGATTCAGTTGTTCTGCGTTGCCAACACACACATCTGCAGGAGCATTGATTTGTTGGTCCTATAAGTCCTCTCCTGGCTTGCTGTTCTCACTTTGCTGTTGGAAGCGAAATTGTGTCGGATTAAACACAATGTTATTACTCGCGCTAACCCTCTTTGTTTTTCCCCAGAAAAGTCTGCTTCGTTTTCCAAGAAATTTGGAAGTGAACTTTTGCGAAGGGGGTTGAAGTGATTAAGCTAATATCCCAGGGGTGGCCTGCGGATTTTTTTTTAGAGTAGCTTTTGGCGCCAGAGTGTTATGATGTTGACACTCGCACGTGTGCGCACGGACTTAAGAGGCTGCAGGTACGGTCGGTGCACTTGTTTAGTCGGGGGGAAAAAAAGGGGACGAAAAAGATCAATCTGTGGGTGTTTCAATCACATGGACAGCTTTTTGTAAAGTTGGGAAAAGTTTCTGGATTGCTATGCTTTTTTTTTTTTTTGTGTTTGTGTATTTGAGTTGACCAATCACAATAAAGAACAAGTGTGAAGCTGTCAGGTTACAATAAAAACACGACTTAAACGGAAGAATAGAAGAGGAGAGGAGGAGTGTCTTGTGTGATCTTTTGGTCTGTATGCAGTGCATGACACATCTTGTTTATGTCAAGATCAGAAATGAGATCTAGATCATGGAGGTCCAACATCCCACAATTGCAATATAGACTGTAAGTTGTAAGCATAAGTGAGAGAGAGAGAGAGAGAGGAGATGGAGAGAGACGGAGACGGAGAGGGAGAGAGAGAGAAGAGGGGACTAGTGGGGAAAGATAGGGGGAGAGAATATGAAGCCCCGCCAAATTCCCTGAAGAACAATTCTCAGTTATGGATGAATACACTGTCACAGTCACATTTTAACTCTGTGTGTGTGTGTGTGTGTGTGTGTGTGTGTGTGTGTGTGTGTGTGTGTGTGTGTGTGTGTGAAGATGGTGGAATGCTGAGTGATTCCAGAGAGCACTAAAGCCGCCTTGAATTCACTTTTCTGTTCCCACCCATGTTTTAACAGGAGAGGAGGCTTTAATTTTTAGTGTGTTCCCCCCCCCCCCCCCGAGGTAAACACACTCCGTCTCTTCTTTGTGAGTCATTTAGCATCATCCTCTGTCACCTTCCTCGTATATTCCAATCTGTGTTTTCAGGTTTGTTGGGCCAGCGTGAGCAAGTCTAACCCCCCAATTTATTTGATTTGGTTCCTCTTGGCGGTTCCACTGAAGACCTATCTGAACTTTTCCTTGGATTTTGTTTGGCTCCGGGTTTGATGTGCCTGTTGTTATTTATTTTTATTTTTTTTTCTTCCTCTCCGTCTTCCAAGCCTGTGTAGTCGATAGCGCCTGAGTGCCAGGCCCTGCTTTTGTCTCGGCCCAGGGAAGGAATTAGATGTGAGACTTTATTTTCCTACCTAGTCTGTTTTTCTTTGAGCTTACCCCCCCCCCCCCCCCGTCTTTGTTTTTTGTTGTTGTTGTTTTGCTTTTTGTAATAGTCCTGGAAGTTTGGGACACTCCTTTTAAGGCAGGTGATGCTGCGGTTTGACTTCTTTCCCGTACCTGTGCAGATGCTCGCATGCTTTCCTGTTTATTTATCAACCTTTCAAAAATGAAACCGCAATCCAATTTGACTGACCCTGTTCAAAAGGCTGCTCAAATCAGTCATGAAATAGCAACCTGGTAGTTTTAATGGAGGGGAAAAGGAAACCTGGGTTCCTTGAGCATCATCACACTCAAGGTTTTGGATAAAAAGAGAGGCTCAATCCTGATGTTATATTAGTTTGTTTTTTTTCACGAGAGAAGTCTAGTCAAATGTGTCAAACCTCTTTCCCTCATCACTGAGATGTTTCTATAGATGCCCTGAAATGGCCAGACGCCGCTTGCAAAAGATGCAGACAATTGCATCCTGGGAAAGGAAAATAAACAAGCCTGTCACCAAAGTTGGGAAGAATTCTTCGTGCAGCGTTACTGTCAGGAAGCAGCTTCCATTTCATACATTATTAACAGTACCTAAACGCATTATTTGTGTATTTATTCATTCATTTGTCTTGTTAACATCCTCCTGGAGTAAGATAAACAGCGCGGCCAGACTGGCTGTGTGACAGTTGTGCGTGAGATTTGAATAAAAAATCCCAGCAGCGCGGATTTGGAGCGAGACAGGAGCCGGTTTTTGTGGGCACCAGACGTCCTCTCCAGGCTCATTAAGGGACAGTGAGGCGATGATGTCGAATCGGTGCGCACTTTACCGGCCTGCCTTTTCCTTTGAACACCGTCGCCCTCTTATCTGCAACATGCTCTGTTCCTCCATAACAAGACGCTCCCACTCCCATACACACACACACACACACACACGCCGGCTCTGTCTGTCTCACTTTTCTGCACACACATCCTTCCTACACACACACACTTCATACTTAGTTTGTGTAGACAGAAAACTCTTAAGTATGTGGCTTGTCCACAGAATTTGGCAGCTTTTGTTGTATTTTCTCCTACGCTATCGAAAAAGCCTGCTACTTGTTTTTTTTAAACTCCTTTTTTTTTTTTCTGCACAGACATCACAAATGGATATTTTAATTGGAACTTTTGGCACTGTCTCCATCTTGTGTTGGAATGGCAGACAAGTGAGTGGCTGGCAAAGGACCGGGGCCGGGCTGATTGGTGTGTAGCGAGGCGTGCCTAAATCAACTGGCAGCATGAATAGCTCGCTTGATTCTCACTGGCATCCTCTGGAATCCATGGCATTTTTTTTTTTTTTTTGAACAAGATTCTTTATTTGGAAAAAAAAAAATCTGGAGTAACCAACAAGGGAGAGCGAGAGAATACCACCGGCTCTCTTGAA